ATGCAAACCAATTAACATATGAAAATAACGTATTAATATACTGTCTCTGAACTGTATCCAATCAGTTCCTTTTCACTGGCGTGTGTACAAAACAATTAAAATTAAATTTATACGGCTTTCCCCTAACATATTCTGCCGCAAATGGAATCGGTGAAACCAATGCTGACAAAAGTTTTACAGGCGTGTGTTCTTCCTTAAAGGCACACAGACTTTAAGAATATTTATAAGATGGCACACTAATAAATTCAACTCTTTGTTTCTCCCTAATGATGTGTGCATCAGAGACAAAGCGCTGAAATCCATAGCAGTAGCCAGGTGCTAATGAATGGCTTACATTATGCTGTCCACTAATTACTACTGCACCATAAATAAAACACAAGACAATCAATTAGTGTAGACGTTTGTTTGTTAGTCATGGGCGCAGGGTCCTCCAGGCCAAGGCTCTGCAAACGGCCTGATATCTCTATGGGGGTCATTTAAAATACGTGCTCCGAGACATTTCAGGAACTGTTTTATTCCTGAAAGTTTCTCGAAACAACATGCAGAAATATGAACAGTTTAATTAGGCATATGGATGTAAACAAACACTTGTGTTCGTACAGTATTTGGTGGTTTACCTTCAGACTTGATCACAGCCACCACAGACATTTGAGTTGTTCCTTGCTGATGCAGGAGGGTCCAAGGATAGTGGTGATGAACCGAGACATTTAACCCTTTAATGGTTTTATCAACCATTTGGTGGATCACTGTTTGAGTCACTAAATCTACTCAAATCTTGGGACTGAAATCTACCTCATTGGGGCATCTCTGTCACTTGATTTGAGGCACTTTTTACCTCCAAACTGGATCTTAACCATTTGGTAAAGGTCTTTTAACAAAAAAGGAGTGAACATTAAAGGGTTAAGGACATTTATGGACATTCAATAACATTTAAGGACATTGGCCATCCACCCTGCAAAGGACCAATGACTCCGTGTTTGTTATCATTGCATTTCCTGTCTTTGAACAGTTTGATTCTCTGATCTGCGTTGGCAAATCCAAAAGTCTGCTGTTGTGATTTAGGGCTATACAAAAAAACCACGTCCACATCATCTGCTCATCCTGACACGTGTGATCAGAACCAGAGCCTCGCATTAACGCTGCATGTGACGCTCACTAACTGAATGATCTCGACATTATGCGGCCTCTGGACTGGCCTATCCGTGCACTTTGATGCATAATTCCTGAATTAATGCAATTTACATTTTAACACAGTCCCAAAAGCAAACTGATTAGTGGATAGTTATCTCCTAATGTGCCAAGAGAAGCCATATGACACACGTGCGCACAGAGGGACCGGGGGTGACCGTTACAGATGGTACAGTATCTTGCCACGTAGACTATGGAGCTGTGATGTTTTGTTCAGTACAGTAACTTTGGAAATTGTCACATGTGTATTCAGTGTCTCTGCAGAGTATTTTATTGACTGGGCAAATTAAGGCCAGTGTTGATGATAGAAGTGCTTAAATAAGAGCAACAGCAATGCAGTCCCATGATGCAATGCTCCCAGTGGTTACATCTGCTCCATTCTTTCATCTGCTCCATTGTTAGGTGGGAGCTGTCACATTATTGAAGGAGCATCGTGGCTTCTTCCCACCCCCAGGTTCGGCTGTTTTCCCTCTGCAGCAGTTGGCAGGGTGGCAGGCCCATACAAAGAGCGTGCACCGGGAGCACAGAGGGGCGCACCGTTAGAAGGAAAACAGTTTGGGAATTAAGGTCATTAATTTTCCACTTTCAAGGGCTGCCACACAGACGGAGATAAAGTCAGCATAAATATTCCGCTGAAGTTTCTCCTGTTTTTCTCCTCTCCCCATTTTCATCGGCAGCCCATTTATCTCCATGCTGTCAATTAGAGGCAAAAGCAAAGAACTAATTAGGAACTGTGCAATTTTAATTAGCTGTTTTGATAATTAAACTAATTGGTTCCCTTGTGTTTCTGCAATGTGTGCTGAGAACTTTTTTGATATCTGGGCAGCAGATTTCCCATCCGCTAGTTAATTAGTCACTTTTGCATTAAAAAGGAGCCTTCCTTAATAGCCTTAATTTGCAGTTGAAAGGAGAATCTACCATCAATAATTTGTGTAATTGGTAACCGTTTGATTGTAATTTAGAGGCACGGCCGGACAGCTCTGCATGTCTAATTCCTAATGACTAGGATTAAAGTTGGATTAACTGTTTGGGAAGGGATTCACTCTCCTCTCTACCCCCCAAATGACACCACCTTGTCTCCGTGTGATTGGTCATGAAATTCAAATTGACTAGGTGATCAGCAGGGCTTTTTTTTTTTCTTAATTCCTTGTATAAAGTGAGTCCGTCCAAATAAATATCCACATACATGCATAAAAACAATACAGTGATATGCCATTACCCTTGATGCCTTGTTCTCTCCTTCTTCTGGGGAATCATGGCCAAAAACAGCCACTAGGAGGAGCAAAACTGAAACCTGACTGGTGACAGTGAATAGAACCTTATTGAAGGTCTGGTCATTAGGGAACAATGCACATGTATGTGTGATCAAAACATAAATTGAAATGCAATAAAGTCAATTTGTTGATGCATCATTGTGTCATACCTGTGAACAGGTTCTATATGAAATTGAATAGAACCACAGGCCTCATCTATATAACAACATATACAGGGCATTGTCACTTTTCTGATTAAAAAGCCCAGTTCATGTGACTTAGGGAGAATACAATTAAGGGACATGGCTCTAAAAGCCTATTGCACATAAAAGGAGCACTCTCCGCTGAGCCTTGCCTGTAAATATCATGTTTGATATGGGCTTTTAATCTGCTTAGCCATTCTCAACTAGAATAGGCTCATCCCTTTGCTCAAACCCCTGTCCAATGGCTGTGCCTGAGGATGAATGGGACACAACACTAGTGTGCTATCTGATTAGGTAGGGTTAATTACAGAGCACTGTTTTGTAGTGGCTGTATTTGAGAGGCTCCCATAAAAGATGGCATGGCTAATGCATGCCCAGAAATTAATTTGAATTAACTGTGTCAGACCCATGTCTCAGGAGTGTGTCCTGAATGCACTGACCCGTTGTGGGCTAGAAAGGCTAAACAAAAGGCTCTAAGGCCCACCATTGTTCAATATTATATGCACAGAAACAGATAGGCATAGGTTATTTCAGTGAGAAAATGCACATAATATCTGACCAAATAACTGTATGGTGTATATTTATTGTTCCCTTTGCAGCTGCATTTCTAGTCCTTGCACACATGCAACTGTCAAATGCCCATTTCAAGTTGATACCAAAGTGTTTCTTCAGTTTTCTGTGTGATTGGATTAATTAAGTGTCAGTCACTTTTCTAGAGGTCAGTGGACATACATTCTTGGTCATAAGTCATCAATCTCTGTGACCATGGAGATGAAAAGTCAAGCATGTCAGCCAGAGAGCTGGACAGAGAGGGATCAGACCATTGATTTCAGGGCCAACCCAATCTCACCAGCAGCCTGTTCCCCTAACTGAAATTATCCCCATGGGCCATATAGTCCACCTAATACTAATGCGATATGTTTCATTTTGTACCAAATAATACTATTCTAAAGGCATATAAGGCGTTCCTGTTTCCAAGGGCTGTTCTGTGATAGAAATACAGACTACATCGTCATGTAGAATATTGTTTTTAGCGTTTTATTCATTTTGTTATCTTATCTTTGTGAAATATGAAACATGGCATAGAACAACCAAAGTCTGGTCCTATGTAATGAGTTACCATAGGAGTAGTGCTTTGGATAAGTAGCACTAATGATAATGTAGGACTCAAATATGTGGTGCACACAGTGACAGAAGGCAGGGGCAGACTGAGTAAGCTCACACCAGCCAGACAGCCTGCTGGCTGCTGATGAACCCGCATCACTGTAGCTTCTCTCCACTCCTCTCCACTCTCCTAAATGGCTAATCTTTGTTGGATCTCACCCTTAATTGGTTAACAGTCTCCGCAGGGCAAGTGAAAGTGGTGCTATTTAGGGCTGCACCATGGAACAGAAACACTTTCATCTTGGCAATAACAGGCAACAATTATATTACCAGATTCGAAAGAGAACCTTTCTATCTCGCCACTAATCAAAAACGCAGCCCATCTGTTGTGCTGTCTCTTTTGAAACGACTGTTTATCTGCGCCGCGTATGATAACTGGGTCTGGACACTAATTAACTGCTCAACAGACCGCAATTAGATTCTTTTTCTATTAAATCCAACCAAAAAGTCGCGAGGAAAAGAACACCGCTTAAATGTATGTTTTCTCCAAGTGGTGGAGCAGCATCACTCTTTCCCTGTGTCTCTCCCTCTCCCATCTCTCTCCCTCACGCACGGTCAATGCTCGTGCGTCAATACAAGCTATTAAGTGCATATGCGCGCGCCACCTCTCCTTTACGCGCGCACACACCGTCGGGAAGACACACACGCGCGCGCTTTCCCTTAGCTGTGCTTTTGTGTTTTGTCAGAATTAATGAGAAAAGTTCCCTTGCCCTAGGGGTAATTAGTGTCCTTGGAGTTAAATAAGCTAATACTTAGACACCTCTGGCACAAGCAATTATGTTTGTGTATTGAATAATTGATTCAAAGAGGGGGGAAGGGCTGCTAATCAGATCTGAGCATAATGAATTGATTTAATTAACAGGGGAATCCGAGGCGCGGTGGAAACTGCGCACATTTATTCAGTAGCAGCAGCAGCAGTGGCAGCAGTAGCACAGGCGAACACATAGAGACCTAGAGCAGGACGAAAGAGAGAAGGAGACGCACGCTTTTAGCACTTGTCACATTTGCAATTGGATTTGTTGTGAGTACAGTTGGCTGTTCGGGAGCAAAGCGAAAGGCAGAGAGCGGCGAATTAACTGCGAGACAGCCGTTTTGAGTCTGTTGCCTCCGCGCACCGCTGACACTCTTGTATAGCCATATTTTACACCGCTTTACATTGTTTTTTTTGTGTGTGTGAGCCTTTTTCTCTCGCATGGAACTGACCGGGAGCCAGCAGCGCGCGTTCTCAGCCGTGTGTTTGACTTCACATGCAGGGTCCGTGCGGTGGCGTGCCTCTCTTTAGATCCATCGCATGAATTATTGTTGATAGTAAAGAGGAAGGAAGGAACGTGCAGACGCCACATCTTGACATTTTGCCTCGTTTTTTGGTTGGCTGATCGAGGCGTAGTCTTAGCAGCGAGCCAGCCGCGCGTTTCAAAGCCATTTCAGCGCGGCGCTCGCTGGAGACGAGGACCACGGATCTCCCGGGGAAGGAGCCCTCGTTCCTCCGGACGATGGTGCTGGACAAGGAGGAAGGTGAGTCCCACTCTGCACACACACACATGCACAGACACGCACACACACACACACACACACGCGCACACACTGCACACGTGGAAGCGAGCGGGCGCTTTAGCACAGTATTTGGACGTGTTTTGGGCACGTGAGTTTGACTCTGTGGTGCATGTGTTTTTCTTGCTTCCTCTTCGGCTTTTGCAAAGTTCACGGGAAGCTTTTGACATCTCTCCGGGAGGACAGAGGACAGCACTCCTTTTAACTTGATTGCAAATTATGGCCAGCGCTAGGACCATTTTCCCGCGTCCCATCACTCCCCCTTCTATCCAAATAGCCCTCCTTGCATTACTTATTATCTCTTGTATTTAGGTTAATGGGCGAGGCAATCTAATTAATTTTAATTTAAATCAAACTCGCTACTAATGACGTCCCATTTTGGATTAGGCTGATGTGAAGTTGTGCTCTGTGTTTGGCGGGTCGTGTGTGTGCATTATGGAAGATTTAATATTCAAATGGAGAGGCTCTACAACGCTAAAAGGCTCTGAATTACAGTCATTCTCCGTTTCTAACACTTTCCTAAGAGCCTGCTGTTACACTGAAATCTAGACCACCTGCTGCCACGCACTGTGACAACCTCCATAAGCATAAAAGCCCTATCCCTTTGCCTCCTTTTAAGGAAAGACACTTTAGAAAGGTGTGTATTCATGCACATATGGCCAGTGTTTTACATTTAATAACCGACATGTCTCAATGGTCCTTTCCAGTGTACATCTAATAGCCCTAAAAGATTTGTGGCATAGACATGAATTGGCATGTCTGTGCTGCTAATGTATCCAAATTAACTCAACTGTAAATGCTCTTCTCTTTCAGATGTCTGTCTGGCTCTAAGTTACCCACATGATTCATGATTCAGATTGCTTTTAACAGTTATTGGCCAAGCAATATGGTAAATGTACAAGGTGATGCAAATGGCATGAGCGGGAGGGGATGCACAGGAGCATGTAATGCAGTCAATACTACATTAACTACTGATGCCCAATTACAGAACCAGGGAGAGTGGCTTTTAGGAGCATTAGGACTTGTAGAAAAGCTTAGATCACCTGCTGCTCATTGCCTAAAAGCCTAACCCTTTAGTGGCTGGTCTCAAGCTCCACGAGTGAGCTGCAGGGATGCTGTCTTTTCATCCACTCTGCCTCTCTTCCTGTTTATTGGTACTAAAGTTATAGTCTTGTCAATTCAAGGCTTCTGGTCTGATGTATCCACTTAGTGCGTTCACAAATACGCCTGAGGTTTGTTTTCGTTCGCCGCACACGCTTAAATGAAACATGTTTTATGAAATATACTGCCTTATACCGCAACTCACTCCACTCACATTCACCAAAACAATCTACTATTGACTTTAATGAGTCGTTGCAAAAGTTAACTTTCAAATTTTATCGTTTATTTCTTGCTCTGAACACAGAAAGAAATTAGTCTGGAGTGAATGAAAAAAATCTCCAAGCTACTGAGAAATTCGGCGATACCTTTGCCAGCTTAATTTATGACCCTGCTATCTTCCTGTCCAGTAAAATTTGTACTTTCATAAAACATGTGATGGAAAGCACCGCCTCAAATGAATGTAGACGCTGATCTGTCGCCTGTGTAATAAAACTTTTGCTCCGGGCGACGATTTTTATTTTGAAATAATAGGAATTGCTTCCTTCTTTACCTGTGTTACCATGGTAATACTATCTTGTAGCTCCGTTATATTGATTCAGAAAGTGGACAGTAATATTTCTTTTCAGTTATTTGGTTTCTGAAGGTTGATTTGTAATTTCCAGTTGGAGATTACTTTCGTATGTTACTTAAGTCCGTTCGCATTTCTGAGGGAATGCAATTTGCTCTCCTCTATTTGCTATTTTCTTAGCCTATTGCTTTGCTCTTACCGCAAAATTAAACTTGCCTATTTCAAATATTGAAATTACGTCTGGTTTTTGTGCTCTAGGCTCCAGCAATATTACAAACCACATTGCTTCATTTGATGTTCCAAATGTCACAGGAGTTTTATTTCAGACCTTATGCTGCAGATATTTGCTCCTGTTTTAGTTTTAGTGGTGGAACTGTTCAAAAGTCCAATTTAGTCTCTCAAGACTCTGATAATTCATATGTACTTGAACAAATAAAGTAAACAGGGCCATTGATGAAATAGCCCCTCTCACTAACAGAAAACAAAATCAGCTTCTCTTCTATCGATCAATATCTTGTTAACATATTAATAGCTAATTGGGTCTTTGAATTAGGGTGGTTGAAAGTATTAAAGAATCAGATATCAATCAATACAACAACTAATATTGTAACTAGATACAGAAAGACATGAATCAAAACAACTAGACAATAGTGTGTTACTATTTAAAAAGTACTATGTTGTGAAGTTATATATCTTAAAAAGTGCAGCTCATTGTCACAAAATCATAATCATTGTGTTTGTATGAGACTTGTGTGTTGAATGCATGGAGAGAGCAGATTCATTTGTGAGAAAGAGGTTGTTTAGCTTGTTTTTGTTTTCCCCCTCAGTGTTCTCTTGGTCTTGTTGATATTACAGTTTTCAAAGTCTATTGCACATTGATGCAGTTATCCACATAATTGTTAGCAGGGCTGTTCTCACGCTTCCCTTTAGCTAAACAAGGGCAAAATGAGCTCAAAATCCCATTTTCACATGTTGAGTAGTGTGTGTTTAATTCCATCTAATCTGATCGTACAAATGCACAATTTTCACCAGAGACAATTTTGTCTGTCACCGCTAAACCCTCAGATCCCTATCAGCGCTCATGGTTTCACATCTGTTAGTGCCAAGACGTGTGGAGCCCATCATTTAGCATATTCTGTCAGATTCAAAGGCTGTGAATAGAGACTTAACAGACATGTGTTAGCAGCGCTCGCTGTTCTATATGTAAATGTGCGGTGCACCTTCTGCAGCACAGACATAAGACTATATGAGTGTCGCCTCCAGTCCCGTGCCCTTCGTGTCACCACATTTAAACAGTCTCCGCAGGAAAGGACACCTCCTCGTCTAAATCTACACCACTGATTCTGTGATTTGTGCCGCATTGAAAAACAATCAGAATTTGTGAAAGTGGTGATGTCAAGGTCATCATGAGCTCATAAAGGCTGAAATGTCATGAATACAGCTGTTTATGCATTATTTTTATACATATTACTCTTCCACTGTTTACGTCGTACCCAATATAGTTGTCCTGTTTAGAACTAATACAGCAGCTGTCGACGCTGAAGAGAATTAAGGATAATTGCTGGTTATTTTGGTGAATATATTTGTGTATTTTGCCCTTACTAAAGATCCACATTCAATTTTTCCAATTTATTGTTGTTGTCCATCACCGGGATGGAGATGAATTATTAAAAATAGACAGTCAACACAAGCTACAGTCAATAGAATTCCACAAAGTACTGCATTCTAAAAACAATGGAGTTCACGTAATAACGAGCACAAAATCAGTGTCACCTTTTTCAATCAACTTTGTATAAAGGTTGATTTCCTCACATTCAGCTCATGGATTTCTAGTTATATCCTATATTCACATGTTTTTAAACACAATATCACACATTTACATATTGATCATAAATTGTTAGTAATGCTTTTTCATTTGAAGTAGGTCTTTACCAGTTTATTATAAGTTGAAAAGTTGTTGTATGAACCATATGCTGTTGTGTGTTGGGGTATTTTTAAAATTGAACTATGTGATTTATTTCATATATTGAGATACAACAAACTAAAACAAGATGCTTAATGTTTCTCCATGCAGTGTGACGTGTTACCCATTATCTGACCCCGCCCCCTCCCACTGACCTCCCACCGCGCGTGCTGGTCTCTTGGGGTCAGTGAGTACGGTTACAAAGCACTAGTGAAAACTGGATTCCTATTGTCTACTCCAATGTCATTCGATTGAACAAGAAGCGCTCCGATCGAGGTGTGAAATTCCAGTCCGTTTTGCTTAACTTTATCGAATCGTTTCTACTGCGTGTTTGCTGGTATGTAACCGCCTACAGCAGATCCTATTGAGACACGGTTGACAGATGCATTTAAGAGCACATGAGAAAAAACATGCTTTTATTCTAATCATATTTATAGAGAGATTTGTGTAGTACAGGGACCCAATATACAGTAGGCAACTCGCTGATACCAGTACACAGCGTCAAAAAGCAGGAAACGTGGTGCGTTTAGTTGAACTTGTGTATTCTTATGCTTTGTAAACATACTCAATAACTCGGAGAACTGGTCCGTCAAATTTGTATTAGTCCATTTGAAATTGCTTGAGCACAGCACATGTAAACCCTGACACGGCAATTCAGGCGCCACCGTCTGGTTTCCTCAAATGTTTATCAACATTTATGAACATTGGACATCTGCCCCTAAAGGACCAATGTGTTTTATCATGGCATTTCTTGTGTTTGAAATGTTTGATTCTCTGATTTGTGTTGGTGAATTCAAAGGTTGTGTAATGTCCTCGGAGATATCTACTGTACAAGAATCAATTGAATTGAATTGAAATGAACTCTAATTTTTGGTCCAATCGTAGTTTGATTGCCTCATCTAACCATGTAACTGATTACAGAGACGTACATATTTCTACCCATAGATCATTGCACTGATGCTGTCTCTCTAGTGCACTTGTTTCATTGTTTTGGTTGGGCTACGTCAAGCGATTGGTACAAACAATGTGTTTAATTGCACTGTGGAACACATGTTTTCTGCAGCAGTGGAGCAGTTCTGGAGAACAAACTCAAAGTAAACTAGATGTCAGTCCAATAATGTGCCCTGCATGTATTCTTGGGTTTCATATGACGTCAGGGCAGTGGCGCGAATAATAAACGTGGGACAGGACGTGACGTACCCTGGCGGTGCAGTCGGGTATATACACGGAGATGTAGTAGAAGAAGAAGCGCTGTCAAAATGCCATCTTTCTGTGCGGTGTACGCTTGTAGCAACCGCGCTAATGGCGAGAAAGACAAGAGTTTGTTCAGTG